CCAACGGGTTTCTGTTGGGGACTTCCAGATTCATGCTTGTTCTCATCATTCTATGTCTTTTCATTGCTCGAAGTATTCGAACCACTCCCAAAGGGACAGGTGTCTTTTGGGGAATTCAAGAGACCTGTTTGCTAAACAGTCTACGTATCATCAGTCTGCTGAATATAACTGTTATTTGCAAAGGGACGGGTGTTTTTGGGGAATTGAAGATTGTATTGCGCAAATTATTCTACTTATTCCTAACTCGTCTAGTTAATTATTCGCATTATTCCCAAAGGGGCGGGTGCTTTTGGGGACTTGCAGATTCATGTTTGTTCTAATCATTCTATGTCTTTTAATTGCTCTAAGTATTCGGACCACTCCCAAAGGGACGGGTGCTTTTTTTGAATTCCAGGCCAGTCTTTCACCAAGGGACGGGAGCAGTTTGGCGAATTCCAGAATCATGTGTTTTCTAATCATCCTTCGTCTTCTTCCCAAAGGGGCGGTTGCCTTTTGTGAAATTTCAGATTCAATTTTGCTCTAGTTATTCTACTTTTTACAATAATAATCATTCTCTAATTTGTTCTAAGGAGGGGTACCTTTTTGGGGAATCCAGCATTCTAACAACTCGAACAATTCTAATGGTTCTGGATACTTTCAATTGGCCGGGTGCCATTTGGGGAAGTCCAGCTTCATGCTGTGCTAATCATTCTACTTCCCTAGTTTATTCAAATTTCTTGCTTTCTTCTTAAAGAAAGGGTGCCTTTTGAGGAAATCAGATTCATGCTTCTTGTAACTTGTTTTTGTGGATTTCCAGGCTCTTCTGTTCTGATTTCTAAGTGTTCCCAACGGCACGGGTCCCTTCTGGGGAATTTCAGATTCATGGTTGCTCCCATGATCCCAATTATGTTCTTCCTTTTATGTATTCCCAAAGGCACGGGTGACGTGCGCCTTTTGAGGAATTCCAATTCCAGAGTCATGTGTGTGCGTTCCAATTATTCCTATCTACTCAAATTATTCTAACTATTCTTGAAGGGTCATGTACTGCTTGAGGAATTCAAGATCCTTGTTTCCTAACTAGTCTACTTGTTATACGTGTTTTGCTTTTGCTTTTTCAAAGTATTCAAATTCTTCCAAGGTGAATTCCAATAATTCCAATAATTGCAATAGTTACGGGTCCCGGATTTTGCAACTTAATTATTGCAATTATTCGAAATCAATTCCAATAATTGCAAGAATTATGGGTTTTGGAGGTCCTGGATTTTGCAATTATTACATTATTGGAATTCAATGCCAATAATTGCAATAATTACAATATTCGGAGGCCCCGGATTTTGCAATTATTGCATTTATTGGAATTCAATTCATTTTTGCATACTCGGAGGTCCCGGATTTTGCAATTATTGCAATTATTGGAATTAGTCGGCCCGGCTTTGAGGCCAAATCTGGGATCACTTAATTGTTAGACCTCCGAATATTACAATTATTGAATTCAATTCCAATAAATGCAATAATTGCAAAATCCGGGACCTCCGAATATTCCAATTATTGCAATTATTGGAGTTGAATTCCAATAATTGCAATAATTACAAATTCCGGGACCTGAAAATATTGCAATTATTGCAATTATTGCAATTGAACTCCAATAATTGCAATAATTGCAAAAACCGGGACCTCCGAATATTGTAATTATTGCAATTTTTGGAATTGAATTCCAATAATTGCAATAATTGCGATAATTGCAATAATTGCAATAATTGCAATAATTGATCCCAGATTTGGCTTGAAAGGCGGGCCGACTCATTCCAATAATTGCAATAATTGCAAAATCCGGGACCTCCGAATATTGCAATTATTGCAATTATTGCAATTATTGGAATTGAATTCCAATAAGTGCAATAATTGCAAAATCCGGGGCCTGAAAATATTGCAATTCTTGCAATTATTGGAATTGAATTCCAATAATTGCAATAATTGGAATAATTGCAATAGTTAGTTGATCCCAGATTTGGCTTCAAAGCCGGGCCGACTAATTCCAATAATTGCAAAATCCGGGATCCGCGAATATTGCAATTATTGCAATTATTGGAATTCAATTCCAATAATTGCAAAAATTGCAAAATCCGGGACCTCCAAATATCGCAATTATTGCAATTATTGCAATTACTGCAAATATTGGAATTGAATTCCAATAATTGCAATAATTGCAAAATCCGGAACCTCCGCAAATTGCAATTATTGCAATTATTGGAATTGAATTCCAATAATTGCAATAATTGCAGTAATTGCAATAATTGCAATAATTGCAATAATTGATCCCAGATTTGGCTTGAAAGGCGGGCCGACTCATTCCAATAATTGCAATAATTGCAAAATCCGGGACCTCCGAATATTGCAATTATTGCAATTATTGCAATTATTGGAATTGAATTCCAATAAGTGCAATAATTGCAAAATCCGGGGCCTGAAAATATTGCAACTCTTGCAATTATTGGAATTGAATTCCAATAATTGCAATAATTGCAATAATTGTAATAATTAGTTGATCCCAGATTTGGCTTCAAAGCCGGGCCGACTAATTCCAATAATTGCAAAATCCGGGATCCGCGAATATTGCAATTATTGCAATTATTGGAATTCAATTCCAATAATTGCAAAAATTGCAAAATCCGGGACCTCCAAATATTGCAATTATTGCAATTATTGCAATTACTGCAATTATTGGAATTGAATTCCAATAATTGCAATAATTGCAAAATCCGGAACCTCCGAAAATTGCAATTATTGCAATTATTGGAATTGAATTCCCATAGTTGCAATAATTGCAGTAATTGCAAAATCCGGGACCTCCAAATATTGCAATTATTTTAATTATTGGAATTGAATTCCAATAATTGCAATAATTGCAAAATCCGGGACCTCCGAATATTGCAATTATTGAAATTATTGGAATTGAATTCCAATAATTGCACTAATTGCAAAATCCGGGACCCCTGAATATTGCAATTATTGCCATTATTGGAATTGAATTTCAATACTTGCAATAATTGCAATAATTAATTCATCCCAGATTTGGCCGCAAAGCCGGGCCGACTAATTCCAATAATTGTAATAATTGCAAAATCCGGGACCTCCAAATAGGAACTGAATTCCAGTAATTGCAATAATTGCAAAAATCCGGGACCTCCAAATATTGCAATTATTGCATTTATTGGAATTGAATTCCAATAAGTGCAATAATTGCAAAATCCGGGACCTCCAAATGTTGCAAACTATTGCAATTATTGGAATCGAATTCCAATAGTTCCCATAATTTTTGCAATTACGGGAAACCAGCTCCAAATATGCAACAATTAGAATTTCACTCCAACAATTGACCCAAAGCTGGAACCAGCCTGAACGAAACATAGGGTATGATCTTCCCTCTTCCGACCCCCCCCCCCCCCCCCCAACCCACCCGCTACTGTTTAGATTGTTTGCAGAGTAATCCCCTATTTGAATCAACTCTTCTTCAAACATCATGGGGGGGGGGTTGCCGCCTCCCCCCCGTTACTTTTTAGATTTCTTGCAGAGATTGAATGGCACCCCTGTTTGAATCATCACTTTTTCGAGCGTCCAATTTCGCGAGAAAATGCTGCAAAATACGACATTTTAGGTAATCTGTGTAATCCATGTATGTCTGTATGTATGCATTTCTTCGAACATCATAGGGGAAGCCACCCCCGCCAACCCTCCCGCTGCCTTTAAAATTCTATCACATTCTTGCTTGAATCATTGCACCCCTACTTGAATCATCACTTCTTCCGACATCATGGGGGGGCGGCAGCCTACCCAACGCCCCCCGCTACGCTTTAGATTTTCTACAGAGATTTAATTAATTGCACCCCTAGTTGAATCATCAATTCTTCGAACATCATGGGGGGGGCTGCCGCCCACCCCAACCCCCCCGCTACTTTTTAGACTTTTTGCAGAGATTTAATTGTACCCCTATTCAAATCATCACTTCTGCAAACAACATCATGGGGGTACCGCCGCCCCCCCCAACATCCCCGCTACTTTTTAGTGTTTTTTTGCAGGGATTGAAATGCCCCCCTACTTCAATCATCATTTCTTTGACCCCGTCACACGATTTGTTGGTGATGCTAGGGATGTTGGTCGGACATGCGGGGGATGTTGAAAACGATGCTGGGGATGTTGACGGGCTAGTGTAAAATGCGTCAATTTCGCGAGAACATGCTGTAAAATACGACATTCTACTGGCCCGGCAGAGATTGAATGGCACCCCTGTTTGAATCATAACTTGTTTGAGCGTCCAATTTCGCGAGAAAATGCTGCAAAATACGACATTTTAGGTAATCTGTGTAATCCATGTATGTCTGTATGTATGCATTTCTTCGAACATCATAGGGGAAGCCACCCCCGCCAACCCTCCCGCTGCCTTTTAAATTCTATCACACTCTTTCTTGAATCATTGCACCCCTACTCGAATCATCACTTCTTCCGACATCATGGGGGGGCTGCCGCTACGCTTTAGATTTTCTACAGAGATTTAATTAATTGCACCCCGAGTTGAATCATCAATTCTTCGAACATCATGGGGGGGTTGCCCCCCCGCTAGTTTTTAGACTTTTTGCAGAGATTCAATTGTACCCCTATTCAAATCATCACTTCTGCGACCATGATGGGGGGGGCTGCCGCCCCCGCCAACCCCCCGCTCTTTTTGTTTGGATTTTGTTACCCATGGTTTGTTGGTGATGCTAGGGATGTTGGCCGGACATGCGGGGGATGTTGAAAACGATGCTGGGGATTTTGACGGGCTAGTGTAAAATGCGTCAATTTCGCGAGAACATGCTGTAAAATACGACGTTCTACTGGCCCAGACGAAAAACGATAAAAAAAAATCTAGGAGAAAAAAAAACGCAAAAAAAAAACAATCTCAAAATAAATCCGCACCCCTTTCCTTTCAGCCCAGCACATTTGGCCAGCTCAATCTATGTGGGCTTCGCTCCGGGCATGCTGAGGCCATGTCCTTCCAAACTCTTGAGGCACGGGGGGCCAGGGCTTGGATGCAGTCTGCATGTGAGTTGTCAAAGCTGCCCGGAGTTTCAGCCAAATATCCTCACTCGAAGCGAAAAAGTGCTAATCAATTTGGCCGCCGCGGTCCGATCGGCACATCAAGTCTCATGCGAACCTCATGCCACGCCTACACCATGCCTCTGGGGGCTTAAGGGTCCGTGATTGCTTCACCAACAAGATGTTCATTGGCTGCCCGAAATCCAGCGAGAAAAGACACATGTTATGCATTCCTTCAGGCGCAAGTTTGTGCTTGACAAGCGGGAATGCAAATGTATCGAGAGGGGGGCAGCCAGGGTGGGAGGGGCTAATAATATGCTGCGTTTCTTCGCTGCTCTGTTGTTTTCTGCGTGTTTTTTGGGCGGGGCACCCACTGGTTGTCAGCACAGCTAAGGTGTGCTTCAGGCTTCCAATATGCGTTTTTTGTTCCAGGATAGACAGCTTTCCGTGCAGCAGGTCTTGCGTTGACCAAATCTTTGCAGGGCCCTTTGCCTGGCGGCGCGAATATCCGCTCGGGCAGGTGGAAACAAAGCTCCTTTCGAACCCGCGCAACTTGGCAGGAACAAATGCGGTCATGATCAAGATCAGGTCCATTCGCAGTCAATCGGGGAATTCGGGGATAACATGGAGATGGCTAGTGGATGCTAGTGGGCACCTTGGGTTCTAATCATTGGCAGGTGCTGGGCTTACAAAAGGTCAAACAGGCGTTGAACCTTGCAGGAACCCTTGTCTATTTGTCTGGTTCCTGCCGCTCAGGAGAAGGCACTTCAATCCAGGCAAGGCCAGAGCCAGCACTGGCAAAAGAACGCGGCACGTTGAGCTAGCTGCACCAGAGCCTGGCGCAAACAGCGGGACAGTATGAGACGCAAAAAGCAGGCCCAATTCAACCCTTTCTTCCTTCTTTCCTTCCTTCGAGTCACCTTGGTCCGCGGTCCTGCAAAGGCATGGGAAACAAAAGAGGCAATCACAGGTCCATGCAAAACTGTACAAAGTCAGCTTCAGCCAACCATTGGCCCCCAGCGCCACGCCTAGATCAACCCCTGCATCTCAATGATGGGTCTTGAGCGCGACGCTCTGTGGCCACCTGATCAACCGGTAGAGCTGTGAAATCGAGCGGGCTCTTAACCCATGTGTTGGGGCTCTTCGGCATTTTGCAGGCGATCCTGACGCAGCTCAGGGCGCAGCTCAATGAGTCGGAGGATTGAATCCGGGTGTTTGCCAAGTGCTTGAGAATCCTTCCTGGGCTCTAACCTTTCAGCAGCCCTTTGACCGGAGGAGTGCTTCGTGACAACTGACAGCTGCCACGCGATCTCCTTCAAGGCCATGCTCATGTCAAGCATAGATTTTGTCGCCGAGAAGAATCAGAGGGGGTCCGATGCATGGGGAAGCACGAGCGTGACAGACCAGAGAATACAACCATGGCACGTCTTGTGGTGCTCTTTGGAGTCTTTGGACGAACTAATGTCACGAACTGTTAAAGGCCCATGCATTTTCGTATTTTTCGGAGGTAACAGATGGATTTGCCGCAGTTGAATCTGTTGAAGTGCAGTTGTGCTGAAAGGTTCGCAGATGGACGCCCGCCATCTACTCAGTGCAGGGCTGTTCTTTTGCAAGGCACCAGCATCAGTTAAAAGATTTCGCCTGCCGGAACAGGCCAATGGCTGAGGCACTGACCAAGATCGAGGACGAGACGGCAGTACCGGTGCCACTACTGGATCTGCAGGAGCTCTTGAACCCGGAGAGGCACCACGGGGCATGGCCGGGCATGGGGATGCACGTGCACCTCCATGGTTTCAGTGTGACGGCCAGAATGCGTTTGTGCAAAACGCTGCGCCATGAATGTATTGATGCACTGGAGGAAACAAGACCAACACATTTGGAGTTGCCAGCCGCAGACACCTGGCACAGGTCCAATGTGCCACAGGAAATCGTTGCTGCCTCAGTGTTAGTGAGAGGGGCTCTGGTGTCCACCATGCTACAAGCTTGGCACGTTGCACTGAATTGACTTATGTTGTTTGAGGTTTGCAGCTGAGCAAGCAGGAAATGAGTTGATTGGTTTTCGGTGTGACCATATGTTTAGCTTGGCAAAGAGGTGAGCCAAAACCCAAGAAATTATTGCCTTGACTTTCTGTTCAAGACGGCGACTAAATATCCAGTGTGTCAGCTTGCTCCTTGCTACAATCGCTAGAAGCACTGAGGCCATGCCGTTTAGCCTGGACTCGCGCTTACCCATGTTCAGACTACGTTTCGACGGTTGGTTCGCCAATGGTGCAAATTGTAAAGGTGGCGTTTGCGCTTTCTGGCTTTTCACGACTCCTAGTTGCCATATTATGGCTTGCGGGATGGTGCTGCCACTTTTTCCTGAAGGAAGTCACCTGGGACTTTTTTTTGACTTAGTGGACCTTGATTTGGAGAAAGTGTCAGATGATCTCAAAAGAGGTCATCCTGGAGGATGGCGTTGCTTCATGGGGAACACATCCCCGTCGCTGGTATGCAACTTGTAGCCTGACATTGCCGATATGACAAATGTCAAGTGTTCATTGCCGAATCCGCATCGGATTGCCTGCAATCCCGCCTCTGGCAACATCGTGCTTTGCCCGCCCAAGCCGGGATACCTGTGCCAGAATGCACCAACTGCAGGATCCAGCTTTGGCGGCCGTCCTGCCTCTCATCGACGGGGTGCGGGCCTTGGATTCAGCGGAGCCGTTACGCGGTTAATTGTGCAAATTGCCTCCAACGAAATCTATCATTGCATAAATGGGCGTTTTATCGTTTCAACATGTTTCGCTTGAGCTAGACATGGGTGAGCACGGCATGAGCCAGCATGTCAGGATCCACGCTTTGATCAGTGTTTGCGCGCATGCGCTGACATTGAACAGGACTATTTTGCGTGAGGTCACAAGAAAGTCTGGGGGCATGGCCTTGGGAACGCAACTCTTGCCTGAAGTTCGGAGCGGGTCTTCGCGGAACTATGCCGATTGATTTGCAAGGGTCCGTGGGTGGATGCGTTTCTCCCCATCGTTCCTTTGCTTTCTCCCCATCGTTTCTCCCCATCGTTTCTCCCCGTCAAAAGGAAGCATTTTCCCCCCTAGCGGCTGCTGATTTTCCCTTACGGTCTGCAACTTGTTTGGCCTGTTTTGACATTGGGCTGGTGCATGCTGGTGCGCTTCCCCCAGCAGGTGCGAAGCGTGCAGACCATAGCTCAAGACAGCCCCTTGAGGAGCGACTACGTCTGGCCCCCAACAGGATGTTGTCGACTGCGATTCTGGAGTCTGCGCTCAAAGACGCTCAGGTGAAGATGATCCTCAGACACCTGCTGCACTTTGACCTCATTCACTTGATCCCCAGTATAACATTGGACAGCAGATATAGGTGGGATGGAGGGAAGCAAGAACGCAGGGACGGGTTACGCGCATGGAGGCTGACGCCAGCATACCACACTGTGCTGGAGGACGCGGAGAAGGTGTCAGAGCCTCATGGGAACGGGGCAGATTTGAGTTTTTCCTGAATGCGAGCTAAGGGTGCCCGTTTATCAGTGGGGGTCTGCGGGTGGAGGTCGTGTTGGCGACGTTATGTTCTAGAGTTCGCAACCGTTTGCAAACATCCCAACTGCCCGCAACCGTCCGCGTTGTGGCAAAAAAGGCCGTGACAAATTTGTATGACTTACAAGAGTGCCTTTGCGACGTTGCGTGTTGTTCGCTACGCAGGCGCAGTGTTTTGGAAGGTTGCTGGTTTGCGGCGCTGTGCCACTATGATTTGCGCTTTAGGCGTGGTCGTTGTGAGGTGTCTTGCTTGGATTGTGCGTGCAACCGTTTGCGCGAGTGTCATTTTCGTCGGCCCTAGTACAATCGGCTCGTGTTGGTGAGCTTCGAGTGTGTCAAAATCGGTAAAAACAGTTCTGGCGGGCCACAAGTCCTGTTCAAATTGTGGATCCGCGTCGCGCGGGCCGTGCCCATGGCAGGCAGAACGCTTTGATCGTGCTTTGATTCGTCGCAGTCTAGCTTTTCGTGACGGGTATCCTCGTCGAAGATGATGCACCTGCCTCTAAAGGGCCCATAGCTAGATTTTCTGTTGGTTGTTCTTTGTGTCGCGCACGAGCACGCGTTCGCAGGTGTGTGCATAGGTGAGTCATTGTCCATGTGTAGGACGGGCTACAAGAGTGCCGGTTCAACGCGTAGCGCCCGCCCACGAGACACTGTGGCATTAACTTGTTTTGGTGTGCTTGAGTTTGTTGTGGCATCATTTGCATGTGCGAATAATTGTCCGGAAGCAGACATGGATGAACACACGCAGATCTGTGGCTGAGGGAGGGAGGGTGGGAGCCCCGCGTTTTGTGGATATATTTTTGCACCCGCCCGCCCTACCCTTGTGTGCTATCAGACACGAGAGACCGTGGTTTGTGAAGCAGTATTCCTCCGTGGGGGGAAATTGATATTTGTGGTGCAGTGGTCCTCCGTGAAGGGGACATGAGCAAGAGAAAGAGCCTTCGCGAAGGGGAGCGAGTTTTGGCATCGCAGAGGTATCAATCCCCTATGCCCAAAGGGCAAACTCAGCTTGTGCCGGATTTGAGAAAAGGGGTTGGCCGCATCATGTAGCTTGACCGCGTGAGCTGTCCCCCCCCCCAATGGCCTGAAAGGGACTTCACTCGGGGGCGCGCGTCTTTTAACAGTGACCCTCCGCGGTGCGGCAGTTCTTGGGGGGTCCCCCCTTCAATCGCGACGTATGATTTTATGGACCGCATGGTCCGTGACTCAAGAGTTATGGGGCCGGAAGATAGGCGCCGTTTTTTTGCTGTTTTGGGTAACAGCTTTGTCCAAGGGGTACCCTTGTTTTCCCGTAAATTGAGTATGCGGAGGTATGCGGAACTGTTCACGGCAGTTCTTTTTCGAGGAACCCTTTGCGGAACCTTGTTTTACAGTAAAGGTGGACTTCGCAAAATCGTGTCATAGGGGGAATGCCTTTGGGGATGTCTTTGAGTTTTTGGAGGTCGTCTTGGAGCGGGGAGGGTTGGAAAATGTTGGCTGGGGATTTCTCTAGTGGACTGTCTTTGGAGGATGTCGTGTGGTGTGTCTTTCAGTGTGAATTTTGGAGATTTGTCTCCTGGGACATGTCTTTGGACGAATTTTTCTGGGGAGGTCTTTCGCGCCATTTTAGGGGACGTTTTGGGAGATGTCTTTGGGGATAGTTAGCTTTTGGGGCGCTTTCGGGAATGCCTTTGGGAATGCTTTTGGGCATGTGCTGAGGTATGTCTTTGGTTGATTGCTTGCAGGGTGTCTTTCTAGTCATGTTGCTGGGGTTGTCTTTGGGGATGCCTTTGGGATTGCACATTTCTGCATTCGGGTTCGTGGCCTCTACTAGGTTTGTTTGTCAAAGCAGCCGAAATTCGCAGTGCGACAAGCTGAGGGAAGAGGCCGTGCGGTACATCACAGCAGGCAGCTGGAATGGTGAGGGCCTTGCCAAGGAGGAGAAGGATCAAGATACTTAGCTGCAACCTTTAGACTCCGACTTTGCCTTGATTGTAACTCCTTGGCAGCACCAAAGAGCAGTCGTTTGTTTCCGAGCTGAGGTCATCCAAAGAGTGATGGCCCTTTATGTGCGGCCCTGAGCATGGCGCAACTCTCAGGTCTCAACTGCACCTTTTGAGGCGCTGGTGGCCTGCGAGGGCAAGCCAGTTGAGCAGTTCAAGCAGGCACGGAATGGCAAGAGAATTCGGATAGTTGGTCCGCAACAAGTAGCGTCCTCTAGTTCGGGATGAGGATCGGGTGCCGTGGAAGTGAGGAAGCTGGCCATATCAGATGTCCAGAGAACCTTTGTTGCTTCGGAGAAGCTCAGGTCTTGAGCATCAGATACTTTTTTGTTTAGATTGGTGCCTTGGGGAGAACACAAGGCAGCTGTGTTTTCTTCGCATTGGTTGGTTTCGTTGTGTGGTTCCTTCAGCGTCTGTGCGCTCGGCTTGACAGCAGTGCCAGGAAGAGGCCGAGGAGCGCGAGCAAATGGACTTGAGCCATTGAGCCATGTCCTGCCTGTCTGAGCCATGTCCTGCCTGTCTAGTGGCATCGCTCCAAGTTTGGAGGGGCTTGCGGAGTTTGAGCACCGGTGGCTAACTGCTTGAGCGGTCTTTTAAACTTGGCTCGATGGAGGCAGGGGAAGGTGGTTTGTGTCATGTTGTTCTGCTTATTCTTTGGCTTCTTCCCTCGGGGTGGCTAGGCAACTTGACTGTCAGGAGGTTGCTGCCCTGAACATCTCCCTGAGACACTTCATCACATGGGGCCTTCTTCAGGCCTAGCTGAGCCTAGCTGGGGGCTTCCAAAAAGTTTGGCCTCGAACATTCGCAGGGGTACCTGGAGCGCGTGGAGGACAACGCAGGAGCACTCGGTGCGGTTTTGATACGCAGGTGTGCAAGTCTAGGCCGTGCCATGCATTCATGCTATGTGGATGCGAGCTCACTTCGAGCTGTACTTGGTGATGTGGTATTGCGTTGTTGCTGTTAAGGTCGGCAGCTTGAACAAGGCCCAAGCTGACGAGCTCTTCCAGCTGCGCACGGAGGATATCCCCAAGCTAAAGTGCCAGCCTTGGCAGCTTCCATAGGCCATAAGGAGAATCGTTCTTGATCGGCTGCGTATTGTTCTTGATCAGCTGAGCAGGTCATCTAGTTAGTCGATTCGGAGCATTTGTGTGTCCGACGCAACACAGGAAGCACCTGAAGGAGAAGGGCTGGTCGGGACAACAGGCTGCATCCCCAGAGTCGTTTGCTCTGATCCTGCTTCGTACGAACAAGCAAGTGTAAGTACCTTCATGACTTGGTAGGGTGAAGATCAGAATGCCTGGGCGTCGTCCTCCCTCAAGTCACATCATGCCCTTATGCTTCGACCCAGCAGCCCAAAGTGTGCCGTTGTGCCGGTTGTAGTGGCAGAGCTAAAGTCTGTGTTTGGCAAGCCCTTTCCTGAGATGCAGGCTGTGAGCGGCAGGACAAAAATCCGTATCCCCAAGTCCTTTCTAGGATGCAGACTTTCCGGTGGCGATGGGCCACCTGACGGGCAACTTTGGCCGCTCTTGCCGCGTTCTTCAGCAAACTTCCACGGGAAAGTGCTCCAAGGGCTTGATGGTCCAGGGGCTTGATGGGCTGATTGCAGTTCATCTTGGAGCTACTCCAACCCGTCATTTTTGGCAGGAAATGCAAACTCGCGGTACAAGCGGATGTTTCGTCACTTCCAAGGCTGTTTGCCGGCACTTCTCGGCAACGTCATTGGAACTCTCCACATCAGTATCGCAAACAACCCTTGCCTTCATCACCACAATGTGTTTCTGCTTCTACATGGTTCTCCTAAACCCTGAAGCTGGAGCAAGAACTGGTCATCAGCCGGCATCAAAGAGCCAATGGCCTCATACTGGGGCAGGATGCTTTGGCCATTCAAAGCGAACAAGGTGTTCATCTGAACCTTCAGGCATTTCAGCAATCTTGTTACGGAGCTTTTTGGCCTTTGGCGGTGGCAGACTTGGCGTACCAGGTTGGCATAGGGGTTCTAGCGATTCCATCACTCTGTCTGGACTTCAGTAGGCGCATCTTCACAAGCGTTCCCCCAAGCAAAGCCTTATGCCTGATGGAGTTCGTGAATCTTCGCACGTTCGGGTCGCTCTGAAGCAACCAAGCGTCGGAGACCTCCACAGCATCTCTGTGAGTAATTGAATCATTTGATACTTGAGCCTTTCCCCTTGGACAAACGTGCGCCACTTCCGCACAAGATGAGTGGCACCACACAGCTTCTACACATTAAGCAAAACGTAAGGACATGCTGGAACATTTGCCCTTCCCACTGCCCAATGGGCACACATGGCGTTCTCGACGTCATAGACTGCCACAAGGCGGCAAAGCAAAGCGCTGGAACCCAGAATGCGCACAAACACAACTACCGTATAGACTTATAGACCTTACATGCAGTGTTTCAAGGACGGTGGGTATTTGCTTATTATGTTGATTCATGGTTTTATGAGAGATGTGTATGCTGTGTTGTGTGGGTTTTTGGGCATGGCGGCATATATGGTTATGTACCTGTCATGCATACATATATATATATATATATACATATGTGTGTTAGTATATATTATTTATGATATACACACGGCCACTATATGTATATATATATATATTTATACACCCATACATATATTGATGGCTGTATGATAGAGCTATGGCAGCATGCTATGTTTTACTGGTTGTTATGACTTGTTACAACTTGCATACGGACATAGTTGACTTGGGTGAGCACATGCTGTATGCTTGGGCCATTGGAGGAGGGGGCGGCGAGGACGATAATTGTGGTTGTGGCTGCGGTGGTGATGGTTTGTGTGGAGTGAAGCTTTTGTAGGTGCCACCTACAAATTCTGCATGTTGAACTTCCTTAAGGCTAGGTTGGGTCAGAGCCGCTCATGCTGTGAGGCCGGGGTGAAGTTGAATGTTTCACACGGCTACATGTGCTCACGGCTGTAGGTTTTGGTGCCCCAGCTCAGGTGAACCAAGACAGCAGGGTCAAGGACTGCTGGCCCGAGAGGTCAAAGCTTTTGCCGGTATGTCGGAAGCCCGCGTGAGGTGTTGCAGTGAAACTCCTGAGGTTTCAATCTCAACGTTGTTCATGGCACGGGCAGTCACTGTTAGCCAGAGCTCATCAAATGAGTGAACACGACACATCTTCAAATACCTTTGCAGGCGTTGGCAAGATCATCAACGTAGCTTCAATCAGGCAACCAACCTTAGACAATCGTAGCCACAGGGTGTTGCCCCACTGGTGTCTTTGATTGTCCAAAGTTATTTAGCAACTCTTGCCCGTTTTGGGGAGTTGTGTGGTCAAAAAATTGAAAAGGAGGCGAAACCCTGCTTGTTGTTGGTGGAAGCTTGTTGATGCAACATGTTTGCCTCACAAAGTTCCCCTTGGCACAAGGCCTGTAGTGAGTACAGCGAACTGACAACGATATATTGTGCTTCCATATCGGTTAGAATTGGTGACAGCCTTGCTCACTTTCTGACTTCTTGGAATCAGGTTTCTTGCTCATTTGTGTGGTGACCGGGAGGAGATGGTGAAGCGGATGGTCGAGCTAAGAGATTTCGTCGGGCACCCAGCATGTAGATCAGGATGTAGCAGTTGAAACTAAAGCTGTCGTAGCCAGGCCTTGGCCCTCAGACTCAGGATGTGTTTTGGTCATGCTAAAACGGTTTGTAATGCATTTAGTCATAGTGTTTGCTTTGTGCATGGTCTTCATCATGTGGATTTGAACAATTTATAGCCGTTGCTTTCATGTGCATGCAGATGTTCAGAGCCATGGCCAAGCTGCCGGTTTCCCCAGCAGTCCCGGAAGTAAACTACCAGAAACAGACGCAATTGACATTTTTCGTCGCGCTTGCCTGGAACCCGCACGGCATCTGCCTGGAACTCCCACGGGAGACGGTCCAATCCAGGCTTGCACGAATGGTTAAGGTGGAAGCGCACCAGCTGTCACAATCAGAAGGTTATAGCGGGAGATGGCTGTGCCCTTTTCGCGCCATGAAAATGTCGGCGCAGGCTCTCCAGAAAACATTTCGATTGCAAGCCGCCTGCGCCTGTACCTGGAGAATAAATGGTTGGTTCCAGGGGCATCCGTAGTTCCCCTTGAGCCATTCCAGGAAGGAACTCATAGGCTGAGTCACAGGCTGTCCTTGCCCAACACTTAGTCATTTGTCACGAGATGTCACTAGGTCGGCCTGGCTGCCTTTGCCGTGGCTTTGCGGGCCGTGGTGTTTTTGTCGCACTAATCGACAAACATTTTGCATTAAGCATACAACTCCACTCACTGCGTTGCTACGGCCGCTTTTGCGGCACAGTGCATCTTGCCGCCACGGCCTCAGGAAGCTTAACGCCGGCAGCCCACGTGCCGCGCACGAGGTGGGCAGTCTTGTGCCTAGCGAGTGGGGCTTGATGCACCTATTAATGATAGTAGCCGTTAATATTACCCGTAGGTTGGCCTCCGACTGGTTTTGTCTAAGTCGAAGTCGAATGTATCAACAAATCAGAGGATTTGCCGGCACAAAAGTACCTTTGTGCATTCCAGCGGAGACGAAAGCCAAGAAACGCGTTTGCATTTTATTGGCATGTGGTTTCTTTGCTTTGTTCAAGTGAGAGTCAAGTGAAGGCTTCAGGAAGTCTGGTGTTCCATGTTCAGGGTAGCACAGCGGTTCCCTCCGCACATCTTCCAAAACGACTTCTGCATTCCCCTCCTTTGACAGTAGATCCCGTTGCTCACGTGGGTGCAACGGCGAGGCATTGTTCAGGGCGAAGTGCCACCGGCAAAAGCGGCCAACTCCAAACCAAGTCTGAGGGCCTTTTCATCGAAATAGAGGCCCTTTCGATTTGAGCTTGAAACTGGTGGCTTCTAGGGGCCTGTCATCGCAGCTTGCGCGAGGAGGACCAAAAAAGTCTCGGCGGCTTGAGACAGTTGAGGTCGCAAAACTTAGTTGAAGCTATCGCAGAGCCAGCCTCGCTGCGTGCGTAGTAGATTGGGATTGTCTGGCGCACAAGCTCACAAACACACCAGCACAAACGAGTGCACGGGCCAGACCCCGATGCTGGTGATGAAGCCGGCACGCTCCAAGAGGACACGAAGCTCTGCCAAGCTAGTGCTGGTGATGCTAGGGAAGCAGCATTTTGTTTGGTATTTCCCCAGATAGCTGAAAGCTATAGGGGTTCTAACTTCTAATGAAGAAGAGAAAGTGATCTGCGAGATTGAGGGCTGGGTGCTAGGCGGTATGCAGTTTGGGGTGCTGGTGGAGGTGCTGTTTTGCGAGCTTGACGGCTGGGTGCTAGGGGGTATGCAGTTTGGGGTGCTGGTGGAGGTGCTGTTTTGCGAGCTTGACGGCTGGGTGCTAGGGGGTATGCAGTTTGGGGTGCTGGTGGAGGTGCTGTTTTGCGAGCTTGACGGATGGGTGCTAGGGGGCATGCAGTTTGGGGTGCTGGTGGAGGTGCTGTTTTGCGAGCTTGCCGGCTGGGTGCTAGGGGGCATGCAGTTTGGGGTGCTGGTGGGGTTGTCCCTGCTGCTGAAGTTCCTACCCTTGTTAAGGCAGTTATTAATCATGTCCTTAACACCGGCTACGTGGAGGTGCTGTTTTGCAAGCTTGACGGCTGGGTGCTAGGGGGCATGCAGTTTGGGGCGCTGGTGGAGGTGCTGTTTTGCGAGCTCGACGGCTGGGTGCTAGGGGGCATGCAGTTTGGGGTGCTGGTGGAGGTGTGCCGCTTTACAAGATTGACAGCCGAGTGCTAGGGGGCATGTAGTTTTGGGTGCTGGTGGAGGTGCCGTGGTGCCAGGGGGCATGCAGTTTGGGGTGCTGGACGGCCGAGTGCTAGGGGGCATGTAGTCCTGGTGAATGTAGTTTGCTGTTTGATTGAGGTGCTGGTGATGGTGCATGCGCATGTGCTGATGCAGGTGCTGTTTTGGGGTACTGTTTGGGGTGCTGTTTGCGGTTCTGGTGACGTTGTGGGCGCAGTTGTGCGAGATTGCCGGCGGGTGCTAGGGGGTATGCAGTTTGGGGTGGTGCTGCTGACCAACTTTCCAGACAACTGAAAGCCATTCTAACTTGTAATGAAGAAGGGGAATCGTTTTGTGAGATCGACGGCTGGGAGCTAGGGCATGCACTTTGGGGTACTGGCGCTGGTGCTCAGTTGGGGTGCTGTTGGGGCTGCTGTCTTGAGGTGTTGGTGATGGTGCGGGCGCATATGGACGGCAGGGTATCGTGGTTGTGGCATCATCATGATGCTGTCTGCAGCACCATGATGCTGTTGAACCGATTCGGACGTTGTTGCTGCCCTAAATGTCGTGAGTAATGGTTCGTGGTTCGTGGCTGGTGTATCATCATGATGTTGTCAACCACGTCATGATGCTGCTGTCACTGCGATGCTGCATTATGGTTCGCGGGTGTGGTGGCGCCATGATGCTGTCAACATCAGGATGATGCTGAATGATTCGTGGCCGTGGTCTCATCATGATGCTGCCTTTGCCATCACCATGATGCTGTTAGCACCACCATGATGCTATCCGCATCATGGTGATGCTGCCCGCATCATCATCATCATCATCATCATCATCATCATCATCATCATCATGCTGTCGCACTCATCAGGACGTCGTCTCTGCCTTTTGTCTGCTAGATATGTAGCGCGGAATCGTTCGTGGCTGGAGCATCAGTGTGAGGCTGTCAACATCACCATTATGCTGCTGAACTCATTAGGACGTTGTCTGCGCGCGTCTATTTAGCGCACCATGCTGAGTGGCTGTGGCATCATCATGATGCCGTCAGCATCATCATGATGCTGTCAGCATCATCATGATGCCGATGGAACCATTATGATGCTGCGTCATGGGTCGTAGCCGTCTTGTGCTATCTGGGGTCTATGCTTGTGTAATTATTATGTTTTGAAAGGTTTGCCGGGGCGGGGGATTGAATCTACACGGGAGAATTTGGTCGAATCTACGCGGGATTGGTTTGGTCGAATTTACAAGGGCTAAGGGGTGCACAGCCGCGATTTGGTGTATATAACTATTGTGGATTCCGCCTGGACATAAATGCACACGGGATACGGAGCAAGGCGTGGTCGCCACGCTTGGAAAGTGGTTTTGGTGGTGTCCCGGTTGTGTGTGTGTTGTGTTTTTGACATGGGCGCCCACATGTTTTGGTGGCGTTTGGTGTCTCAGTCGTTTTGTGGCGGTATTTGGCGATATCCCGGTGGTGTTGTTCCGGTGCTGTCCCGGGCGTTTCCGAGCGACTGTGGTTTCGGATGGTGTCCCAGTTCTGTCACGTTTGTGTTTACGGTGTCACCTTGTGTTACTGGTTAATTACGATATGTTGGTGTCCGGGTGGTGTTCCGGTGGTATTTTTTGTGGTGTTTTGAGACGAGCAGCTTGGCCCATTTGGCTGACCATGCCTCTAAGGAGTCAAATTGTTTGGGGCTAACATGCAGGCCCCAGCCTGCCGCGCTTTCGCACTAAGCAAGGCCGTGCTGCGGCACCTTCGGATATCACTGCCAGCAATGGCACTGCAAGGGGAAATCAAATGCTCGCCAGCAACAGACCCCCAGAAAAGCAACGCTTCAGGTTTTGCAGCTTTGCGAGGCCGGATTGTGCCTTTTCCCCAGATAGCTGAAAGCTGTAGTGGTTCCAACTTCTAATCAAGAGGGGAAAGTGATTTGCGCGATTGACAGCTGGGTGCTAGGGGGCGGGTAGTTGGTGGTGCAGATGATGTCAGGGCGTGCTGTTTGGGGAGCTGTTTGTGGTGCAGGTGACGGTGCGGGCACAGTTTTGCAAGATTGACCGGGTGCTTTTGGGCATGCAGTTTGGGGTGCTGGTGCAGGTGCTGTTTTGGGAGTGCTGGTGACGGTGCGGGCGCATTTTTACGAGATTGACGGCAGGGTGCAGGGGGGTGCTGTTTGGGGTGCTGTTTGGTGCAGTTTGGGGTGCTGGTGCAGGTGCTGTTTTGGGGTGTGGCGTTTTTGCAGATTGATGGCAGGGTGCTAGGGGCCATGCAGCTTCGGGTGCTGTTGGAGGAGTGCGGCGTCCGGGGGTGCTGTTAGAGGTGCTGGTGTGCAATCCTCCGCCTGTTGTTTGCTATCTGGGGTCTACGCTGGTGTAATTAGATTTTGTCTTTGCTTTCAGTCGATCCCACGAGCAAGACCTAAGGGAAACCTTTAAGTCCTATACAAGCGCGTTGGGTTAGAAAACGCTGTTGGCGCCGATCTCACGCTCAAATCAGGCCTGGGCCTGCACACGATCGCACAGCAAGGAAGACAAGGCAATAAATTCATCCTTCCCTTGAGCCTCCCCTTTTCAGCAAGGGGTCAGCGGGTTTGGGAACAGGCGCCGGCCAGGGTCAGTCAAGGGATCGGCCGTGGCATTTAGCCCTCCCATTGTCACATTTGCTGCAAGGGTGGTAGCGGCCAGGGTGTGGAGGCTCTCTTTGGCACATGGCATGAAGCAGCAAATCACAAGTCGAGGATTCAATGGATGCCCTGGCTTTCAGCGGCAGTTGGCTGAGAGAAGACTCTTCAGAACTGATGATGGCTGATCGTGCCGGCATGTGTCAGAAGAAGCGTGGCATGGCATTTTACGCAGATGCCCTTTCACTGGAATCTCTTGCAAGCAAAACCCATCCATCTCGCTGTCAACAGGATCTCAGAAGCCATGTCAATCGAGAACAACTCTCTGCCGACAGGGACCTTTTGAAGACGCCCAATCATCCTGATGCGTTGGGTGCCATGTCGGCCCGCAAACTGTTTCCACGCGGGTCCTCTGGCGGCGTTCTGTCCTTAGATCAGCAGCCTGCATGCCGGCAGGCTTGAGATTGACAGAAATTCCCAAGCGCTGGCCAAGGAGCTTTGTCCAGGGACCCGGGTGATTGTCCATGGCATCAGGGCGCCTTGGTGCCACACGGACGCTTCATGAGCTTTGCCAAGTCCGATTCCTCAGGATTGTTTTTGACTGCCAGCTTGCTTGGCAAGCACTGGTACATAGCCCCTGGTGGGTGAACCAAGTGGACAAAGAAACAAAGCACATCCGTTTGTGGAGCGTCCCTTTCGTTTGCAAGCGCCTATGCCTATGCTCCAGCGAATGCCAAGAGTATGCGCACGACTAAGTCTGTGAAGGAGATGAACGGCAAAGAAGGCACGTGCATAGATTGGGTACCAGAGCCGCTCTGCTTAGTTGATGCAGCTTCTGCTTTTTTATGCATCCGCTACTGATTGATAGCATCAGGATGCAGTATGCCTCCCATTGTGAGCAATCCGTAAATCACACTGCCAATGTTTGTCCACAAGGCAAAGGATAGTGGGCCCAGAACTGCCAAGAGAGCAGCCGAGGGAGGGCCGAGTACACGTGCAGCTGGATGCCGGCGTGAAGGCCTTGCGCCCAAAGAATCTCAAGGTGGTTCGCCCCAAGCAGCCTACCAACGAGATGCTGGACCGCGTGCTCGAGGTCTTCGGGAGCCGCTTGGCTATTGGGCTTCGTTTTGCTACGGCTTAGACGGACAAATTTTGCGATGTCCGTTGCTTGGTTTGTCAAGCGGTAAATGCAAAGCCTTCGGGACATCCAGAATCCGCGACCCCAAGAGTCGACAAGAGACTCAACTTAGTTTTAGTCTTTTGGGCTGGCTTGGAGTGCAGTGAGTGCTGATATGGCTTGGCACAGCCCAAGGTGCAGACAGACACTTGGAAGCAGACAGAATTTTAGGTGAGCCACATAGCTTTCAACGGAAGACTGTCAAATGTGTTGGTGGGGGCGTGGTTAGCCGTCCAGCATCAGCTTTTGGGGACTTGTTGCAGTATTGGACGCCGTATGCGCGTTGGAGGCAACGGTGACGGTGTCCTAGACATCAACGAGTTCGCGCGATGCCTTGCCGGGATTGGTTTGCCACTGGGCACGCACGGCATCTTGCTGCGGCACCCGTGCTCAGGGCTACCCCACGATAGACTTAAACCCAGGGGTGGTTGCCTTTCAAAGGGAACCCCCTGGGTTTAAGTCTATCTTGGGGTAGTCAAAAAGTGGAACCCTGCCTGTGCTGCTTTAGCACAGCGCCTGGAGCTGAGGGGGAAGGAGTATGTCATGGCGTTCCAACTGGCAATGGACAAGGATCACGACTTCGAAACTTTGGCCTGAGGAATGGCGAAGCAGCCATGGTTCGGTGTTCATTTTGGTGACATGCTTTTGTGACATGTTTGCCAGCTTTAGCAGGCCCAACTGACCCTCAGAAGAGTGCAGAGAAACCAAGCTTCTTTCGGCGAATTGCTGACCCTGAGAGCTGGCACGACGCGCGTATTTCAATGTGCGTGCGTGCGTATGTTTGCGTCTTTGTGTCTTTGTGTGAGTTTGTGCGTGTGCGTCCGTGTGTGCGTGCGTGTGTGTGTGTGTGTGTAGGTCTGTAGGTCTCTAGGTCTGTAGGTCTGTAGGCCTGAAGGTCTGTTGGTCTGTAGGTTTGTAGGCCTGTAGGTTTGTAGGTCTGTAGGTCTGTGTCTGCGTGTGCGTGTGTCTATGCCTGTGCTTGTGCCTGTGTCTGTGTCTGTGTCTGTTTGCGTGCGTGTGTGTGTGTGTGTGTGTGTGGTTGTGTTTGTGTCTGTATTTGTGTCTGTGTCTGTGTCTGTGTCTGTGTGTGCGTGCGCGTGTTGTGTGTGTGTGTGTGGGTGTGTGCGTGGGTGTGTGTGTGTGTCGGTGCGTGCGTGCGTGCGTGCGTGGGTCCATGCGTGCGCGCGCGCGCACACGTGCGTGCGTGCGTGCGTGCGTGCGTGCGTGCGTGCGTGCGTGCGTGCGTGTGTGTGTGTGTGTGTGTGTGTGTGTGTGTGTGTGTGTGTGTGTGTGTGTGTGTGTGTGTGTGTGTGTGTGTGTGTGTGTGTGTGTGTGTGTGTGTGTGGTTGTGTCTGTGTCTTTATTTGTCTGTGTGTGTGTGTCTGTGTCTGTGTGTGTGTGTGCGCTTGTGTCTGTGTGTCTTTGTGTCTGTGTTTCTCTGTGTGTCTTTGTGTGTGTGTCTGTGTGTTTTGTGTGCACTTGTGTTTGTGTTCTTGTGTTATGGTTTGCACGATTGCTTGCATCATTGCTTGCTTGCTTGCTTGCTTGCTTGCTTGCTTGCTTGCTTGCTTGCTTGCTTGCTTGCTTGCTTGCTTGCTTGCTTGCTTGCTTGCTTGCTTGCTTGCTTGCTTGCTTGCTTGCTTGCTTGCTTGCTTGCTTGCTTGCTTGCTTGCTTATTTGTTGGCTTGTTATTTGTTGGCTTGTTATTTGTTGGTTTGTTATTTGTTGGGGTGTGATTTGTTGGTTTGTTGGCTTGTTGGTTTGTTTGTTTGTTTCTTTCTTTGTTTGTTTGCTTGCTTGCTTGCTTGTTTTGTTTTCTGTGTGTGTTTGCGGTTGCGCAAGCGTATTCGTGGTTGTGTTTACGTCAATGTGTGTGTGGTTGCGTTTCAATGTTTCAGAGGCCAGCCTCAAGATAGTCTGTGCCCACAGGGAGCCATACGGGCAAGCCCTTATCTCCACCACACATGGGTATTATAATGTAGGCTTAGGGATGTTTGGGGTTAAGTCTAGCATCATCAAAACAAGTGGCATTGTGCTGAAGAGTTGCTGGCACGATTTGTTTCAAGGAGGCGGGCCGAACCATCTGAGACCTGTGCCATTTGTGCACGCCTGTCCCCACCTGCGCCCATTCGGGACGTTTGCACATCATATTCACTTAGGAGATCGACTATGCCGAGTTCACCCAGTGGGCACTAGGCCGAAGCATAGCGCAGTTGGCCATCCCAGTAAATGGAAAGCCTTGACACCTTCAGCGAAAGAACGACCGAGTTCGGCAGATGCAGTGCTGTAATGTGGATGCGCATCACAGCCCGTTGTCAGGCAAGTCGCTTGCATATTAATTGTTCTACAAGCGGCAATAGGTGTCAGTGCAAGCGACGTGCTTCCGAATGCTGCAAGTGACTCATCCACATAAGCACTGTTAGACGCATCCTGAAGGACTGTTATTGTTTCTCATCAAGTCAACTTGCGACAACCGGGGCTCTTTTTTGCGCTCGAACTCGCCCTCTTGGCATACTGGAAGGGGCTTTCTTGTCATTGAGGATTCCCCACAAGGCAGCTACAAGATTCCAACTATATGCCGGATCTGGCGGCCTTTGTCCATTTTCCCATGGTCGGACTGCAGAGGTCTCATCCAAAGAATTGCCACCAGAGAAAACACAGCTTGAGAATTAGCCTTTGGCTTCCGATCGCATTTGTGCTGCATGGACAAGCTTGGGATTCAGGAGGGGTGTCCGACGTCCGGGGCATGTTGCATGGGTGTTGGCCGTATGGAGGTGCAGACATGCCCGGGCGCCGAACCCGCTTGGACCTCTACTGGCCAAAGAAGCGCCGCTCGGCGTGGAAGCCAGCTGGGGCACAGGGCCGGTGGGTTTGAAGGAGATCATTCCGCATGTACGACCACTCATGTTTCTGACTTTCAAGGTGAACACTTTCAGGTTCAGAGGCTTCTGCGATTCAACAACTTCATGGCTGAACAGGTCAGCGATGCCTTGGATCTAGGCTCTAAAAGTAAGGGTGCATTCTTCACTGCTTCTTGGCGTTGAGAGGTCATCTGACTTGCTTGCTTGGATGTTTCACCATGTTAAACCTTGAAAGCCATTTTCAAAACGGCGGGCACAGCATCGAACCACAACAGAGAGCCTGCGGTTCTGCAGGAGAGCTACCCATAGAGCCGGTCGACGAGGATGACACAGTTCCAGATTATGATGAGGAACTCACCGAGCGGGACATCGTGAAGACTCCCGGACTGAATGCGTTGCATTGGATGCGGGTGGTTGACAGCAACTAGGGTGCGGCGTTGGCTTGCCCGTTTGAAACGGTATGGGTAGAATCATCGCCGTCACCCAAGCGAGCGTGTCGGGCGGTCAGGGTTGGAAGATAAGAAACCCTTTGCTGAGGCTCATGCATCGACCGTGCCTTGGTGGCCTTAGAATTTGCCGGTGGATCAGCCAATGGGCAAGAAAGTCGGCTAGTTGCTGGGCAAGCCCGTGAACAGTGGCCAAATAAGCCGGTTGTCTCCGGCATCCAAGCAAGCCACTGCCGCACTATTGCAACAAAACCAGCTTAAATGCAGGCTGCCGGATGATTGGCCCACGCACGGGAGACTTGGACAGACTTAGTATGTGAGCTTTGCAAGCGTTGGTGCCACACTGACTTGTTGTATTCTGTGCCCTGTCAGTTTGCCATTGCTTCTTTCTAGGATAAACATCGTCAACAATGCGCGGGCCCGATTTCCATACTATCCTATAGCTTCTTGCCTGCAGCCTGTAGTTGTTGGGTCTTAGTCGGCCCACTGCATCGCCTCCCTCCCCAAGGAAGGAATTGAATCTTGGATGCACTCGGATTCGGACACTTTAGGAAGTCGATTTGGCTTGAAAGATGTGCAGCTTCCCACGTGGCAGGTATGGTCAATGAAGAGAAATGGCTACATTGGTGGTATAGTCTTGGCAGCTTGGGGGCATTAAGACATTTGCAGAAGATGGCTCAAAGATTGTGGCACCTTGGTGAGTCCTGTACAAGTGCATGTGGCGCCCTCCAAATTCGGAGGCACTCTCGAACAGGCTGTTGGAATGAGGTCATGACCGCCCATTCCTCAAACGGGCATGAAAGCAGGTAGCGCGCTGTTTTGAAAGGAAAGTGGACTGCTTTGCGCGTATCAGCCCCCATGGAACCCCGAATCATAAGTGGTGTCCACCTAGATAGGCAAGTTGCGATCGCTTTTTTCAGTCACTGTTGCTGGTTTTTGGATGGTAAAGTGGATAGAAAAAGCGATCGCAACTGGCGATCCAGGCATCATCCCTTACCAACTCCTAACCATAGAGTTCTGCGCTTTGAATCTGAAGCGTTTCTGAGGCAGATATTCGCTCAACCGGCGCGAAGGAGGCCTTGTGATGTGGTAGGCAGAGTTCATGAGTATGGCGCGGGTTCGCCACCGGCAGCAACAACCAAAGCAGCGACAGACGCAACTGCAAAAACGACAACACCGACAACGATGACAACAGCAACGACGACGACGACGACGACGACGACGACAACAACAACAACAACAACAACAACAACAACAACAACAACAACAGCAGCAGCAGCAACAACAACAACAAGAACAACAAGAACAACAAGAACAACAAGAACAAACAGAACAACAAGAACAAGAACAACAAGAACAAACAGAACAACAAGAACAAGAAGAACAAGAAGAACAAGAACAACAAGAACAACAAGAGCAACAAGAACAGCAACAACAACAACAACAACAACAACAACAACAACAACAACAACAACAACAACAACAACAACAACAACAACAACAACAACAATAACTGAACAGCAAAAACACCAAAAACACCAAAAACATCATCATCATCATCATCATCATCAT